CAGTTGTGAGGCGTTTCGTACGCGCCACTACCCTGTGCCCGATGCTCTGTCGGTATTTCTGTTCCTTGGGGGCTGATCGTTTTGGGGGGGGGGGTTCCCGCCAACACGACCTTTAAGCTGGCTATTGTCAGCCAGTGCATGAGGCTTGCATGAGGCAAAACGTTTGCGGGCGAGAAAAAATGAGCAACAATAAGAAATCATAAGCAAAGCTACTGGACGGGGTGGCGGTAGCCACTGCAAATTAGTTTCTTCATTCTGGCTATAGCAATGATCCACCCCAATTCGGTGATCTGATAGATACATATGGTCATTCGCTTTGGAATTGCATTTTTACTCTTTTCTTATCTTCAAGATTGTGGATACGATTATGGGGTCGGAAACGTCTCCTTCTGTGCGTTACATATGTATGTACATCCATTTTCCACCACAAATACAATATACCCCTATTTACTCTTCGAGTTCCGGGTATAAAAATAATACACGAGAAATGGAAAATTATTAAGAAGTTGACAACTGACTCAAGAGGGGCACTGCACACATACATACACTAAGACACCCATGAACACTCGTAAAATACACAAAAAGATGCAAATGTATCCGATGGTTGTCACAAGTGTGTAGTAGGTTGTCGGGTCACGCATGATTGCCTGACGCACCCTCGCGTAATTTATATTTGAATGACGTTTAGTGTATTTGATAACAAAACTGCTAATTAGCTGCGACGACATCAGTCAGCTGCTGCTGTTTTTCTATTTAATTTATGGGCGACAAACCGATCGGTTCACAACACCTATTACAATCTAAAGGGAAATATCTATGGAAACCTGAAATAAACCCTCCCAAGTGTACAACATTTTAAGGAAGGGATACCAACGAGTAAATATATTTTTATGAATCTCAATCATTTTGTGGTCTCCAAATTATCACAAATTTGTCCAGGACTGTGCTCATGATCAGATTGATTGCAATGCAATTCCCTAAAGACCCTCTCATCGATGCCATTCACATAGCTCGGCCGTAAATCAAATCCAATTGTGTTGTTCTAAATATAAAAATATGGAATGAATTTGCAGCTTGAATTTGCAGAATTATAATGAACTCTCCCTTGAATATAACATCGTTCAGGCCCTTGAAAGTATCAAAGAAATTGAATAACTGGTGTCCATTAAAGTTTTGCAGCAGATCAAGCAATAATCTTCTCAACTCTTTAACTTTTCGTGGATTATAGCCCCGCTGCTTGTAAACAAAACGTATTCTGTAGACCCGCATCATAGTTGCACGAAGCAAAGGCACATGTCTCCGCATAGGTAGCGAAAGGACATAGCATATATCCTCCGAATTATTCAGGGGCTTAAAATGAGCAGATTTCAATATTCGAATGTACGCTGTGCTATGGACGGGTCTTCCGGGCAGACATTGCGTCCGCGTAGCGCATTAAATACCAGTGCGGAATGGAAGACTCTCTCTCCTTTGTATCCAAATTGCTGTAAAAATTATGAAAAATATTTAGGGTACACACAAATCAGAAACCCAAACAGTTACAGTCTTGCCTCATTGTACTCTACCAGGCTGATATTCCTTGCGGTTACGGCTTTACGGCTATAATGAAATTTTTACGCTCTTCGCGTGCAAATATAACCGGACGTAGACCCGCTTCACGCGCTGCCATATAGTCATGATGATCGAGAACCACATAATGATTATCCTCATTTTTCACCGTCTCCAGGCACCTTCGCCCTTGAAACACATTGTAATGGTGTTGCCCGATTTGCATCCTTGGAGGCCTTACCATAGCCAAACACTTTCCATAGCTGTTCGTATCAAAGGTGCAGAGGGTATACTCTTCCCCTGAGGAGGGATGTGCCTCCAGCAACATTCCAACGACCAGACAGAGGGCAACGAGTGGAGATATCATTCTGTTACTAAATCCACCCATACATACCGCCTTTATAGAACATTTCGCTAATGTCTGTTTGATGGGCAGAGCGAGCGAGCAAAGCCTAGGCGAGGCATTATCAGCTTAAATAAGTCGAAGGAGGCATTCCATTTGCTCATTTGGCCTGCTAATCTCGGAACGGACACCTTATAAATCATCGATCGCTCTCAGGTCCGATATAAATCATCAAATCTAAAACGTCAATTTGTTAGTTCCACAGTGCTAAATCAATTCTCCAAGCGAAATCACGGCACAACAGGGAGATCCGAGAGGCTCAGGGACCCCGAGACCCGAGCCCAGCTGTCCGGACTGAGTAGTATATATGGGGCCCCTCAAATAAGCTTCATGCAATCTCAGTTGGCGATTTCTAAATATTATTTATGGGACGCTTGCCCCCAAGACGACCGTAGCCGAAGGAAAAAAACCAAACTGTCTGGAAGTCTACGGGGTCTTAGATACTGTACGTGCAGCAGCGCACCTCTGTCTGGGATGGCACGTACGAATTCAAAGAACTAGAACATCATGCCCCATTAGAGCTGTCATTTTAAGAAATTTTGTCTCTACATATGTGGTAAAAGTCTCAATACTACATGCGACATGTTTCTACCTTGAAAAAAATTGTCCAACATTTTTCCATGTTCCGTTTTTGTTTATTTAGATCATAAATTTGCAGACAAGTCATTAACATCTACATATATACGACAAGGACAATAGAATCGGAAATTGTATGACTATGAAGCATTAACCATACGACAAGTTGTCAGTGTTAAGGTGTCTCATAAATAAGGGACCGCATAAATAAAGAGAAAATCTAAGAAATAAAGAGAAAATCTAAGAAAGAACAGATAGATGTATGTATCACATATGTAAGTACTCTGGAATATTGGATACCCAATAATCATTTTTAATTATTTATTAATTTATTGACATAGAATTGGCAGAGAATCGATTCATCACACCATTATTGTTAAATCTTTCCAATTTTATTTTAGATCTTAGATGTAAAGTTGCCAAAAGGAAGTCAGAATATTTCAAATTTCTATGGCTGTCAAATTGTTTTTAGTTTCTTTTTTCCAAAGAAATCGGAATTTTTTGTGTTGTTTTGTCAAATGGATACTGTCATTCCTTTTATCTATTTATACGACTCGTTGGGCAACTACTACGAGGTATCCACCTTAATATGTGAAAATATTAACACAAGAAAATCACAACCAATGATAGACTTACTTTTGATGAGGCCATAAAGCATTTCAGATTATGCCGGGGACTAGCCCCAAAGTCACACAGGCAACCCCATAAAAGTAATGAAAGGAATGTAAATTAAGTCATATAATAAAAACTATGCGTACTTAAGTTTGAAAATGTTCAACATTTTAACAGAGTGATTATTGCCTGGCATTAACTGATTATGAGTCAACCCTGCCAACCACAAATTTGGCTTTTTATGGTATACCCGTTGTTTAAAAAGAGAAAAAAAAGAAATGGCTTTACTTGGGCTCGT